CTGCTAGCAACACCCAAGACCTTAATATCATCTGCAAATTTAAGTAACTTATTGACTATTCCTTCATCTATGTAGATCAAAACAAGCAAAAGTCCTAAGACTGAGCCATGAGGTACCCCACTTGTGACATTAATCCAGTTTGACTGAACTCCATATGTAACAACCCTCCGCTTTCTTCCATCCAGCCACTCTTCTATCCAATTTGCTAACTCATCCCCCACACTTATAGAGCTAATGTTTTTACATGTCTTTTATGTGGCACCTTGTCAAATGCATGATTCCTGAAAATCCAGATACACCAAATCTACATTTTGTCATCTACATAAGCAGTAACCTTTTCAAAGAATGTTAAATGATTTGTAAGGCAAGATTTGCCCATAGTGAAACCATGTTGACTATCCAATAAAATTATAAACTTTGTTAAATGACTTTGCAAAGCACCTTTTAACAGACTTTCCAAAATTTTTTCCCACAACTGATGTAAGACTAATGGGTCAATAATTACTGGGGCAATTTTTATTACCTCCCTTGAAAAGAGGAGTTACATTAGCTAACTTCCAATCCTCTGGTACCTCCCCACAATTCAAAGCCTGGCAAAAAATAGTAGCAAGTGGCTCATATATCTTTAACCTCTTTCAAAACCCTTGGGGAAATATCTGGATCAGGAGCCTTATTGGTCTTTAAACTTCCCAATTTTTTCTTTAGCTCAAATTAATGCAGTCATCTTGTTTCTACCTATCAACTGTTCAAGATGTGGAATACATCTTAAATTTTTGTTATTAAAAACTGAAAAAAATAAATAAATAAACAACCCAGCCACCTATATAATCATCAGATACTAGCATTCCTTTATCACCTCTCAAAGGTCCAACCCCATCCTAATATTTTGTTTACCTTTAACAAATTTAAATAAATCCTTACTGTTAATTTTTTACATTTTCAGCCAACCTTTTCTCATACATCCTTTTTGATGTCCTAATTTCCTGTTTTTATTATGCTTTAATTTTAGTTCTTAAACTCTTTGTGAGCTATACTTTTCTTTCTATTAAGAATATGTTTACATTGAATATATAAAATTTGTCTTTAAACATTTCCCACATCTGATCTGTGTCTCCAAATAACTCATCTGTCCAATTCACAGCAGATAACTTGTCACATCTCTTCAAAATTTGTAACCAAAATATCATTATTCTTTATCTCCATATGCAGAAAAAACATTGAACCTAATAACTCAGTGATCACTTGCACCCAAATTTTGTTCCCCAATTTCCACCCTCTCAATCATTTCTATATTTGAAGTTAACAATAAGTCTTAAATAGCATTGTTTCAAGTTGGTTCCTGACTAACTAGTGAAGAAAGCCATCCTGAACAGTTTCCAAAAACCTTTCTCCCTCTTGGTTTGATTCTTGAATTTCCCAATCTAAATGCTTGTCAACAGTATTATAAAAGCCCTGTACAACAAGTAAACAGCATTCACAATGTATAACTTGTACAGAGTTATGTAACAAAATTTGTCATAACTATCACTTCTAAAATAGTTACCTTTTTACACTTGTTATGAAAACTAAACAATAACTCTTAAACTGAACAGTCTTGTATATCCAACATACTTCCCAAAATGTGGATGCAAATATCTCCCTAGTTTTATAAGTACCATTAGAATTTAGTAAATCCATAACACCAACTTTACTAGCAATTTGAAAGTTCTTAATGATTTAATGTTAATTCAGTTATGTATTATTAGTTGTTTAGGGTTTAATGAATCAAAGCAACAAAGGCTGTTTGCTCCAAATATAATAAGATTGATATGTTTTTAACAACAAACATAAAGTAGTCATAAAATTATGCTCCCAGTGGTACAGTGGTATGTCTGCAGACTTGCAACGCTAGAATCCGGTTTCGATACCCGTGGTGGGTAGAGCACAGATAGCCCAATGTGTAGCTTTGTGCATAATTACAAACAAACATAAAATTATAGAGGATTAACTCTATAAAAGGCAGCAAAATGGGAAATCACTGCAATAAATAAATGTCCAAGGACCAAGAAGGATTAAAAGATTTGAGCAAGAAGAATAATGTTACCATATAATGGTAATGTCTACATAAAAAGAATAGTATGGAAAAAGAAAAAAGGATGGTTAAACAAAAAAAATCACATGAAAACTTGACCAGAGATCAATAAGTGTAGTCTTCAATTAAAGAACAACAGATTAAAGAGGGTATGAAAGCCATTGATCTTTAAAATTTTACTATTAAGATGGGCAGTGTCATCATTATTATTAACATGGGAATAAAAATGCCTAGGAACAACTGCTGCTAAAACTTAAAAACAATGACAGCAAAGGATAATATAGGTAATGGTTAAATGGGTCACACACTGCTCATGCAGTGGCTGGTATATAGTCATCTCTCAGTAAAATATAGCAGTGACTAATGTGTTAAAACTAAAGGGGGCTATTGCAAAGCTTTTCTAAAACAGTTTCCTCACTGTTAACCATGCACTAGCTAGACAGCCAATGTTTTAAACTGAGAAGTTTGCTAGTTCATTGCTTATCCCAAAGTTTCTTCCGATTGGCATAAGACTTACTAATAGTAGGCCTGAAGCCCTTACAGGGAATGGGCAGAGTCAACCATGATAGAGAAGGCTGCTATATAAAAGAAATAATCCCCTTAGATTCTAACATGGCCAGAGAATCATCAAACCCGAACAAGCAACAATGGCAATTTGTGTGTTTTCTCATGAAGATGGGATAAAACAAGAAGCTTGCAAGTATGAAATGATTCTGAAGCTTGCAGCAAGTTAGGTGTGTTTTGTAAATATTAAGATAACTGTACTGCTTAGCTTCTATGTAAGCTAAGACATTGGAGATTTCATATAACCCCACAGTGAAAACAAACGCCTCAGAAAAGCAACTACAGTCAAATCATAGTTGACTGAGTCACATGATTCGGATCCATCTGTAAATATGAGTTAAAAGAATGAATGTCATAATTGTTGTTCTTCAGAAAGAA